TCTGATCCGATCAGCCAGACGGTGGTGACTACAAATTGTACTGCAACGACACCTAAAAAAACAAATTGTACTGCAATGACTTTCTACGGTTCCACGACGGCCGTGGTCATCAAAAGGTATTCAGGAGGGTTCATCTCTTCTGACCCGATGGTTGACTACGAGGGTAAGATGCAAATTATGGATGACGGTTTGGCGCAGATGGATGGTTGTGTAATGGCAGTGATTGCATCACATGTAGTTGCTGGGATGACGGAAAAATGGTGGTGACAACACATGAACGACTTCGATTGTGTTGCTACTTGAGCACCCGGTCTCGAGCTCCAGGGCGAAAGCCTAGGTTAGACCCGAGTGGTTATATCTGGCGATGATGATGTTTTCCTCATGTTTACTTTGTTGAAGGTATTGTTTGGGTATGCTTGGATTGATTCCTCATGGTGAATACCTAGATTCTGGCCTTGTGGTTGGATCCCGTGATGGCGGCGCCCGAGTGTCGGTCTCTTTTCGAAGACATTAATGTTGAAGAACCTCGTCATTCATGTGGTGTCATGAGATGGTTGATACACATATGGTCATTGTTGTAATTTGCCGATCGTAGATCTGATCGCTTTGCGGGTTTTTCCTCGCCTACGCATAGCTTTGGTCTTATATGACTTTGCTAGTTGCCGGCGTGTTCTCACGTATGTGTGAGTTATGTTGGATGTGTGAATTCTAACTATGCAGAGACCGGGTCCGTGCTCACTGTGTTATATATCATCTTGATGCTGCTTTTTAAACCAATAAAAATTTTCTTTATCAAAAAATTCCGAGGTATGAATATCAAAAGCATAATGCCAACATATCCAAGTTGTGGAAAAAGGCCCCCTATAGTGTTGCAGCAACGAAGAAGATGTTGGTGGCAAAGGCGTTCATATGGTCTGGACTCTAGAGATTTAGTGAGGGGAGAGGTCTAGCAAACATGACAAATATTACTTCTTCCAAAAGGGATAACAACGGGTCAAAATAGGAAAAGCTCTCATGATGACAACTGTAGTTGTTGGCGTCCCTAGTCTCACCGACAAGCCCTGGTGGTGGTGTTTAAAAGCATCTACGGCCGGCATCATCAAATCTTCCTCAAACACTTGTGGATGCGTCTGTTCGGTGACTGAACATGAGAGAGAAAGAAAAAGTGACCCAACCAGACCCCTTATATATTCTCTATACGTCTGGGCTGTTCCGCAAACGAGCGCACCGTAACACGCGAGGCGTAAAAACGCACCGCACCGCGAAAAAACCACCACACCGCGCCCGCGCGTGAGGGTGCAGCGCACCACGTGAAGGGAAAAACCACTGCGCCGTGGTGAGCCCCGCGACCACTGCGCCGTGGTGAGCCCCGCGCCCGTCCGCTTTCTCCTCCCGTTCCCTCAGTCTCCAACCCTAAATCTTTTCCCCCTACAGCCGCCTTCCCAATCTCCTCATCCGCTCCACTCCCTCGACAATGGTGGCGGCGGCGCCCTCTGGTGGCGGAGGAGGAGGGGGGAGATGGTGGCGGCGGCGCCCTCTGGTGGCGGAGGAGGAGGGGGGAGACGATGGCGCGGCGGCGACCTTCCCCTCACGCATCCCATCCCCCCTCGTCATCCCGGATCACACCGGACCCGAGGCGTGCGGGCGCGGCAGCGACCTGCAAGGGAAGGGCGACGCTCGAATCGATCCAGCCATGGATCGGTCCCTGCGGGAGAAAGAGAAAATGAGGACCTCCGTGCTCAACAGGAGGAGCCGGGGTTGCTGATCCGGCCGGCCCAGATCCACACGCCTCCTCCTTCGGCCACCTCGCCCCACCAGCTTCCAGCTCCGTGGATCCGCCGAGGATGGAGGGCAGCAAGTGAGAGGGAGCAGGGGAAGATGTGAATCGAGGGAGTGAAAGAAGGATCTCACAGGGGAAGAGGAAGAAGGAGTCTAGCGGTGTATCCTCGTCTCATCCCTGGCTGCACCTCTTCTGATGCCATGGCACCAGTGGTGGCTCGTCGATGGAGCACCTCCTTCCATGACGGCACCACCAGCGACTCTTGCTCGACGCCACGATACACAACATCGAGGTAAGCTCGACTCCCTTTCTCCCCTCTCTCAATTGATAGTCAGTGATTTTATTCTCTCCTTTCCATCTCATGATGGATTCCTTCTTCCAAGACGAATTAGTAACTTTAGCACCAAATATGAAGTTATTTGGACAAAAAAAAAGAGCATATGGGAAAATTCTAGGCAATCCCTTGCTAGCATTTGTCTCTCTGAACTGTTGTTGGTTGATAGGCCAATAACCATGGCGATTTGCACTTACATATGCATTCTGCCTATGTTTATGGGGTGGAATTTTGCCTTCTCTTAGGTTGTGTTCTGCCAGGTATAAGTTTGCCTGCAAATTGTTTGTGCTAATGTCTGTAAGAGCTGTTGTACTACACCTATATTCAATTGATGGCTAGGCACTATACTGTGCATAAGTAAAATTTCCAGTTTTTCTTTTCGTAGTTGCAGCAGTTATTCTGTACCAACTGCTTCCTCTCTTATTGGCGACTTGAAGTTAGAAGAGAAGATTTGGTTTTTTTTCTTAGGTTTTGACAAAGCAGGTGAGGCCAACAAAACTGCTGCACCAGAGTAAACCTGTGCTCCAGCAGCCTAGCTGTATATACACATCTTTGCATTCTGATCCGTTTTGTTTTGCGATTCAGGCCACCCCTGATGCTCAGGCTGATGCTTCTTCGCTTGATGCTGAAGAAAAGGATGATCAGATTCAGACGCCCAAGAACAACAGGTGCTGGTGCTGCATCTTCTCTTATATGTTTATCTATGTACTTCCAATTCATATAGTCATTCAAATTGTCTATATACACATCTTGAAATTAAGAAACTCCGGTGGTTCAAAGCGAGTTGGGCCAGGGAAGAAATCAAAGCAGTGACTGTCCTGCACTAACTGTGCAAGGATCAAAAGAATATAGGTGTAGCAATAAATTCCCCTCTTATGCTCAAGTTAAATTTCTTCACTGAAGATATGGTTGGAAGTTATGTTTTGAGTTTGATTCTTTAAACTATAGGCCAATTTGCATATTAATCTCTTTATTTATTTTCTTACTACAGTAGCACACTTGCATAAATCCCACATAAGACTGAATGGTACTCTGCCATGGTGTTTAATCTCAGTAATGTGTCTTGTTTTATTTTGTCCGTGGTGACTGGGGATGTGTTCTCGGCTTTGCCGACAGTAAAAAGAAGGCATACAAAACATTAATTTTTTGCCTTGGTTGAATGCCGCATTTAATTGTCGCTTATGTATTCCAAGTTATTCAATTCTCATGGAGCTTTCCTTTTCTAAAGAAATTTAATACGCAATATTTTTAATATGTGAGGAGGCGAGAGAAGAAAAGAGGGGTTGTTAGGTCAGACTTTGGTGCGTCTCTGGTCAGAAATGGCTGGATCCGTCCGACTCTCTTCCAAATAGTGTAGTGTAGATTCGCTGACCAGTACAACATCTAAACCTTCACTACTCTAGCTTCTTCTTACATTTCTTAGTATCAACAAATAAGGTGGTCGAGGAAGCCATGGGGTGTGAAAAGCATAGTAACAATATATCTGGGCTGCAACGTGTTATGAAACTTTACTGTAATTACGATTTCCTATTATAGCTCATATGAAGAATAATTTGCTGCTTTTACATTTGCTTATTTTATTAACTTTTACTAGGATATGAGTAGCATTACTCAAAATTTTGCTTTGAGAAGAATCTAATGATGTATCCAATTTCACATCCAAGCTACTATGAATATTATGATTGAGCGACTGCTTGGCGATGTCATCGTCAGAGGCTCAGGCCTCCTCCCTGGACAAGGCACTCGTGCTAGGCGGTGGCGATCTGTGCGCCGGTTCAAGGTGAGGCATCTCCTCAAGCCACATCCAGTTTTTCCCATGAGTTTGTGCTAAAAGGATGAGTGTTCTTCTATGACCCATGCATTCTGAATTTAGGAGGAATGACAACAAAGAGAAGAGATCTTTTTGAAATTCTTAGTAAAGTCTGAGCTTTACGTAAATCTCAGTTTCCTTAGCAAACATATGTCTGCAGTTTTTAGTTTGATATGTGGCGTGAGGTTGGGATTTGTGATCAAAATGGTTGGATGTTGATTCAAGAGTGTAGAAAGGTGAATGAGATTCAAGAACGATTCAGGCAGCTTATGAGTATGTTACATTCTGATATTGGCTTCAGATTACATAATTTTATTTCCTTTGGATCGTTGCTTTGGTTCCTTGTGGCCAAGTATCATGGTTTTAAAGATAACATGTGTTTCATGAAGATAACAGGTGTTTCATGAGACTATTGTAGCACCGATCTCCATTCCTAATTTGATTAGCTAGGATATGAGTAGCATTACTCAAAATTTTGCTTTGAGAAGAATCTAATGATGTATCCAATTTCACATCCAAGCTACTATGAATATTACGATTGAGCGACTGCTTGTTACACTACACCATGCCACCAAACCAGTGCATTTGAGTGCGAGTTCAGTTATGTATGTAAATAGCTGTAACGGAAATAATATGGAGTTGGGCATGTGCAACTCTAATTTAGACAAGGGTAGTCATATGTCAACCTTAATCCTACAAATGTGACACAAATAAATAAGATTTGCTTTTGTGCCTTATCAATTTTCTTTCCTAATATTTCTTGGCTTGTAAACAGAGGCGGTAAGACGGTCGCAAGAATGCCAAGCTCTTCAGCTGTGGCATCATGCAATAATGGAATTGAGCATTCTGGGCAAAACATAAAGGACAACGAATATGCAAGGTTGGTGACACCAGCTGAACATGCAACAGCTGACAAGAAATTTTGCCTGAGCAACCAAAGTTAAGACACTTCATTTGGTGAATGAAAGTTTTGCTTGGATGCTTCCATCTTATATTAGCATCTTATATCTTCGGGAAATTTGGCGCACTGTGGGTCGAGCTCGCTGCTGGAGGCGGCGGCGGCGGCCGGCGCGCCGATGCAGACATGGCCGATGGTGTTCGACCAGTTCATCGAGGAGAGGCTGGTCACAGACGTTCTCAAGATCAGCGAGAAGGTGTGGGGCGGGGCGCGGAGCACGAAGGAGGAGAAGGAGATGGTGCCGGCCGAGGTGGTGGCGAGGTTCTTGGAACCAGGCGGAACGGGGGAGACGGCGAGGGGCCGAGCGCAGGAGCTCCCAGTGAAGGCTCGTGCGGCCGTGTCGAAAGGCGGGTCGTCGTCCTGTGATCTGTGCAGGCTTATCGACGACCTGATGGAAACAAGGGAGGCCGTCGCCGGCGGCGACACTACTACGTCACGCGCTGCTGAGATATAGCGCCATTGTTGTATTTCCCTGTTCTTCAATCTGTTTGTAAACATGTAACACCGGCCGCTTAATCTGTTCTGTATTTCCCTTTGCCTACTATCCCTATGGTGTTCATCATCTCAGGGATTTGCTGGCACTGGATCCAGCAGGAGGAGATCCCTGTGGCATTTGATTCTTGTGGGATTCCCACACATCTTGCAGGATCAACAGGTTATCAGCACCTTCTCAGTCCCTCTGCACCCATGACCCAGGTCAGCTCAATCCCCTTTCCTCATAGCTAATTACTCTTTTGGATGTGGAGGTCTTCCCATGTTCCATCAGATGGCTTGCCTGGATGATGCAACCATGTTTTAATGTGCTTTAGGCTGTGAGACAAAGTTTGAGGTTGATCTGATCTATAATTCAGTGTGACTTCATTCATAGATTTGGGCTTTCTGGATGTGGATGTTTTTTTTCTGCTGTTTGGATGTGGAATTCTGTAGACGTGATCATGCCATGAGTGACCATTGGACGATGCCTCCATGTTTTATTGCGTTTTATGTCGTGTTTGCTTTGAGCTAAAGTTTGAGGTCAATCTGATGTGTACCTATTCTTTGTTAATACATTCATAGGTTTGGTTCCTCTGGTGGTGGAGGATTTTTTTTGTTCTATTCGGATGTGGGTTTCCGTAGACATGATCACATGATAATGCCATGAGTGACTATGGGCCACTACCAAGAAGAGGCTCTAATTAGCTTCATTGATATGTTGCTTTGCTGTAAGTTTATTCTACTTAATTATAAATCTTAAGCAAAGTGAAATATGGTGGTTAAGGAGTAGTGTTTGACTGTATCTACTTATTTCCCTTATTGTATGACCTGTGAGTGAGGTCAAGCAGCAAGAACTGGGCAGTTACTTGGTGTACCATGTCCCAATTTCCCTAATTTACATGGGCCTTTTTAACATATTCTCTGAGTGGTGATTAGTGTGCACAAAAAATATACATTCAAATACTTTTTTTCAGCATACGCCTGCCAAAAGGAAATGGTTCAACAACATTTTAAATGTACCATTTGAATTTGTAGTCAATTAAGAAAGTAAAAAGAGGATTTGGTTAGTTTTGCTTTACACAAGGAAATGTTGAGAAGCATACTGTCCTATTTTTTGAGTCAGTGAATAAGTAGAGTACTTGTCCACAAAAAAAATGAATACATAGGACTTTGTTATATGCTTAATCATATTCTGTCTTTTCTTAGGAGCACGACACAAATCGAAAGACTTTTCTGTACCAGGCCAAACCAACTACTTGCATATTGAAGAAACTTCCATGATGTTTTACGTGTGGATTCTAACAACTGATCTAGCGTATATGTTATCATAGCAGAATAAGAGGTATGATTCCATCACCGTTATCTTAGTTTGATCAAGAAACTAGAACTAGCCCACACCATCCACTCATGGTTATTTTATTATTGTGTTTCTCTTTGTAGATGCGCTCAAACCAGTGGATTTTTCATCCAAGATGCTTTTATAAGAAATGCGGCAAACATCAGTAATGGACTGCACCAGGTAGTGAAGCTGCACATCAGGGGAGCCCAATGTGGGTTCCTTTAGCAATTGGCTTTTGCAGCTACTAGCCTATGCCATGTGCTGATTCGTTCGCTTTGCCATATGCAGGTATCATCTCTGTGCCATGGGGTGTGTCGTGGGGACTGATCCGTGGCTGAGGTCGACAAAAAAAACAGGGGAGCCCACGAACAACCAAATTCCAGACTGGTTTTTGTCATATCGGACATTAGTCATGAAAGTTGCAGTCTTTCATTTTTATCATACAAAGCACACTGATTGGTTCTCATGGGATAGCGATGCCTTTCAGTTGTTCTTGTCTGTACATCCGAGTAAGGATAACTACACACTTCTAAAATTGTCAGTACATACAAATTGATCTTTCTGGTGATTGCTTTGGTAATAACTACAAACTTCTAAATTTGTCATCTTTTTGGTCTGCATAGCTAATTTCCCCTGAGGATTGTAGTAACGTTTAAACAAGTATTTACACTTCTAAACAAGTATGGAAAAAGGCGACTTGCTTGAACTGAATCAGCCATAAACCTCCCTTAATTATGTGCATGTCTACAAAAACTTTAGGTCTGCCTCCCTGTAGAAATACACAAGTATATTTGTAACACTTAGATGCTTGCCTATGTAAGCTTGCATCACAGACCAGCAAGGAGGAAGACGAAGCCCGGGTTCAGCCCCGTTGGAGTTGGCATCTGCTCACAGCAAGCTGCAGATGATGTCCGTATTTTGTTTCTTTTCTCCTGTGGCAAACACAAGCAGGTGCTGAGATAAGGCAGAATTATATTCAGATTCGTAGCTGCTAGGTAGTATATTTTAGCACTAAGTTTCTTTTAAATTATGGGCATAATCTGTGCGGAATTTCAATGTACTCCTAAAACAACAGTTGTAGCTCTTGTTTTTATGTTTCCAATGGTGCTGGTTTCACTGAAATTTGATTGGTAGTTTAGGAGTTAGGCCAGAAAAGGTGCTACTGTTTAGTAATAGCGAGGCTGTGAGAAGATCTATTTACCTATGTTCAACCAAGTTAGAGACAGTTTCAGTCCCAATCACCTTAAATAAAGTTGTAGGAAATTCTCTATGGGTATCTTAAAATAGTTTATTTACTGAGATCGGTTAAGTGGTTTAAAAGCTATGAACAGAACAATGAGTGACTCAGTAACTCAGTTTAAGTTTCAGCTAAATTTAGAACTGGTTATTTAGGTTTTTTACTTCAGGGAAATATTAATGTATTCATGAAATAGATATTTAAGTTTTTTTGTATGTGAGTTGATATAACTTTTATGTACTGCAGGCAGTTCGTTTAAATCCACATAACAGTGCCTTTAGTAGGCGATAGCAAGGCAGTCAGACAATCTTAGTTTGGGGAAATAAGATAGGTTACCTGACGATACATTGAAAGAGAAAGGAATATTGATATTTTGTCGATGACGTGAACTGCAAAAGGATGCTCTTGGTGACAGCATCCTGGGCTTCTGAAACATGCTCAGTTTAGCTGAAATGATGTATTCAATTATGCAGAGAGATGGAATTGTTCGAACTCGAGTGCCACCAATCGACGGCATACCAAGACATTACCACGAGAGGTACCTTCTGTTTGTTCTTTTGTACTGCTTTGTTGGTCTCAAACTGTATGGTCTTGGTTCTTTAGGAATCTCTTGAATCACCTGATAATGGATCAAAATCAGCACTCCCCATTAGAATGCTGCTAGGTACCTAACCTTTAAAATGTATGATACAGCCAAGATATTATATTTGTTTGTCAATCTTATGTGGTTATTAATACCTGTCTATCGCAAATGCAATACCTAAAGTTCCTAGATAAACAGAAACAACTAAAGTATAGTTTGGTCTGTCATAGGTCGATAGTCACACTAGCAAGGTAGTAATTGTTCTTGGCAATCATGAGCCTAACCACATAGTTCATTTTTAATATAGCTGATAAAAAATGGTACCACACTAGGGGTGAAAATGCAGGTCACTTGCTTGTCATGAATACCAGAACATAAGCAGGCTGAAGGAAAAAAGTATACATTTGTGGCAATCTGATGTTCCCAGAGAAAGAATCTTTTGTAGCATTTAGACTCCTATGTACTATAGCTTTCCATTCATTAGCAGGCCCCAAGAAGCATTCCTAATAATGACCACCCATTTAATTATTTTGCCGGATCAACATATCTAAACAGTCTTATTTATAAATATGTATTTGATTTATCATTGACGTTTGACAACTTGGTGCAGCAGCGGTGCTTCCAGGATGAAGAATGAATGCATGTCATTCAGGGATAACTGTGGGCAATGAAATGTTGAAGGGTCCATCTCTCACCCCACTCCATATAGATGCTTAGTTCTTCATGGCGATTGTCTCTAATGTTTTTGTTTGTAATATATTTTGGCTTGGAAATATAAAAACTCAATGCCGCCTGTCACACAATTTTTTGTCGTCCGGGCAAACCCCCCTTTCCATTAATTTCTTGATGTATGGTTATTGATGCAGTCTTCTAGACGAAGATGGATTTAGGCTGTGTGATTCCATAGTATACCTTGCACTTCCTTTAAGCATGAATATCTGAACGTGCACGGTGTATATTTCTCAGTCATGTTGTTTTTCTATTTATATTTTCAGGACACATAAAGTACATGTATTGCATTAGAATATAACTTCTACTTCTGTGCTATTATTTTCCTTCATGGTATATGTGGCAGAACACCATGTATATCTAACATCTTCAGGTTTCAGGATTTAAATGCCCTTTGTTTTCTGTAGGTGGTTACCTGAGATTTTATTTGATTACTCTATTAGATCGTAAGCAAATTAAGACATATGTTGATCTTGCAATTGATAGCATTTCCTGTCATATTGTTGATTCTCTTACAGATCCACCACCTCAGATGGTGCTGACAGGGTGCAAAGCAGTCTTCCTTAGAGCTTTGGTACCGGGTTTTAAGGAGAACATTTGCCCTCATGAAGCCCCACTTTGTGGTGATTGCAGCTGTAGCTAAGGAGGGTACCCGTCAGCGCCAGCTCACTGCTTGCCTATGTAATCAATCTATATTTCCAACCTTTTTTGTTTATGGTAAGTAGAACAACGCCTAGAAAGAATGAAAGACTGTTTCTAAATTCTAATTACCTTTGCTGCATCTAACCTAACTGCCATGCCTATGTGACCACTAAAGCAAATACCATTGTTTCATCTGCAGCGTAGTCCAGATTTAGTTTTAGTGATTTCTTAACCCTTTTGTTCTTGCTCTGAAGATTAAGACATGCACGGGCCTTAGACTATAGTAAGCATCTATGTTATACGCATCTTTTCATTGCCGCGTATACTAAATGTAATCAGGGACTTACTAATATTGATGTATCCCCTCAGTTGTATTGGTACTACTACATATTCGTCATGACACTACCAATTATATATAGCAAATTCAAAGGTGTCTATATGATGCATCTCTACCTATATGTCTTGCTTGTTAAAAACAATGTAAATAAGCTACAAGATAACTAAAGAAGCATACAACTATGTGGAGGAAGTGTGTGCTACATCAAACAAAATTCATGGCCTTGCTGGCATTAGCCTTGGACCCTGCTGCCTCAATGTCTGTTTCTAATCTGAAGCAGGCTCTCATGGAGATTCACGATGTAGTGGTCGCACTTCAAAACACTGCAACCACAACATCTCAGTTCCTAGAGGAAAAAGGCATGTACTCAGATGATGAAGTGCCTGATCCATTCTATAGGGGCATTCTGATGAAGATTCGGCTGATGATTGTCATCAAGACATGGACGACGACTACGGTCACTATGTCCGATCCCCATGAGCATCATATTCAGCCTGCTAAGCTGTCTGATGCCATGTGAAGCTGTATATGTATAGCTTCACCATTACGACTTGGTTCTGTGGCTGTTGTGTTTATTCTCCTATGCTGGCCGAATAAGATGCGAAGCTCTTTGTTTATAGCTTTGCCTTAGATTTTTTTTCCTTTTTGAACTGCACTATGGTCATGTATAAGTATGAAATCCATGTTGATGCGTTGAGCTTATTTATCTATGTTGCATCTTTGCTTTTGCCCACTGTGGTTCTTCTTTTCAGTACCTTCTCTATGAACATACATTCATTTACTTTACTCTTCTGAGACTAAATTAGTGAGCACAAGATGTATCTCTGCCTATCAACCTTCCTTCCTAATAGCATTGTAAATAATCTATCGTAAGCTTCTTACAACACTATGTATCATGAATAATCCATGTGTTCCAATCAGTCCTTAAATATATTTATGTACACTCTTTCAATACTTGCATTGCTCTCGGCCTTTGCGCCATTGGCGCAACGGGTCATCTAGTTGAGGATAAATGTAGAGAGAACATAAGGGCTCGCGAACGCGCCCGGCCCGTCCGCTATGTAGGACGCGGCCCATCCTTGACCATCCTTTTCTTTTTCTTTATTCATTCTTTTCTTTCTTTCTTCATCTTCATCAATCACCTGCAAATAACCGGATATATGATGAAGAATATGAGGACCGTGGTTGCATGTACGGATTAGTAGGGGCTTAAAATGAACATTCCAGTCACTAACCGGGCAGGCCCGCGAGCGTTTAGGGGGTTAGATTCGTTTAAGTCCGGCTGTAGATGCTCTGAGTGCTAGCCCATTGATAAGTGTGTGTGCCTCCGCAGGTGCAATGTCTGTCATCACCAACACCTTCCCCAAATCTGACAGAGCCCCGTCGTTCACTGGCTGGGGAGGGTAATAGGGACTGCCTCGGAGTCATGGTTTGTGCTACTGAGGTGTCCAACATCGGTCGTGACTCACTGAGATGGACGACTGTGATGTATACATGCAGTTGGCGGGGTTGAACAGACTTGTCGTCCATCGATTGAGCGATATCACCGTTAGTTAACCTTTGAAGGATATGATAGCAACCGTCCTCTTCTAAGATGAAGAAGCGATCGTTTGAAATTTACGATTTCAGGCATGCATTTGACACGAATTTTGTACACCGTGTAGCCCAGCTAGAACTAGAAGACATGCAGCTAGATGCGGCATAAAGTTCATGTACGCTGGGCCATCCAGCTGGAAGCTAATAGAAGCCCAAATACAGACATCTGTCAGAAACAAAAGACTCACAGAGAACTTGTCATAATAAAGCAAGAGCCAACATATTTCCGATCCTTTCGTAGCTTTCTTCAGTGCAACCATGGGTAACTTTTGACAAATCTCATATCTCCTGGACGGCTGGACTGATAACTTTTGACAGGAATCGAGTGATGAATGTAAAGAAGCATTTGTGCAGTAATGCTTCAATACGTAGGTCTAGAAACATCACGTGCTGATTCTGACCTGAATGTTGCATGTACTGAAGGCCAAGCACAAAATGCTACTAATTCACCAACCAACGAACGTGAGGCTATATGTACCAAACAATGAAACAGGGACAGTTAAGATGCTCAATACCTGACGATGATTTATGCAGACACTGAAAGTATGGATGACATAATGCAGACTTTACAGATACTACGTTTGAGGGCAAGATGTGCAGCGAAGCCAATCAAACTGTCATTATTTTTGAATTTGATTGATTGAAGTCAATCAAATGCTACTCGATCGCTACCTAACGTGAAGGAGGCATGGCGAACGGGTCATGCTCTGTCTCGGCGAGTTTGCCGAGCGTCCTGTCCACGAGGCGCCTGAGATCGTCCCTGACCTTGCTCTCCCGCATCGCCCTCTGCTCGTAGTTGAAGGTCGCGAGCGCGCGCTTCTCCTCGGCGCTGTACACCTGGTTCTCCTTCCGGAGGCGCACGGCGGTGATCCTCGAGTGCCTGCTCCCGCTCATCACGTACCCGGCCTCCTCGAACCTCTGGATCTCCTCGGCGGACAGGCCCACCTCGCCGCGCCGCGGGATCCGCTTCCCCTGCTGCACGAACTGCGCCATGGCGTCGCCCTCCCCCGGCCGGAGCGCGCCGCCGTACTTGACCTGGACATCGACGTGGGGCAGCGGCAGCGGCAGTGGCCCGACCAGCGGCCCCGGGCCGTCGTCCGGAGCCGGCTACTGCTTCGTCGACGCGGACATATTCTTAAACTCGATCGCGTCCTTCTTCTCATCGCCGGCCTTGACATTGCCCTTGGCGGCGCGATCGTGTTTACCGGAGCCGCAGAAATCGGATCCCTTGCTTTTCTTCCCACTCGAGCGATTGTGACTGCTTCTCCTTGATCTCTTCCTGCTCTCGCAGGAGGTCTCCGAGTCAACATCGCTATCGCTACTGCTGCCACGCGATCGACCGCGACGGCAGCGGCTTCTCTTGCCACTTCTGCTGCGTCCACGACCCTTACGGCGGCGTCGGTGCCTGCTGTCGGTCATGGAACCCTCCGATTCGCTTAAATTTGATACCCCATGGTCTGCGCCATCAGCTTCGTTGTGGCGATGGAGAGGGGGACTAGGAGATCGGTGGCGACGTCGGCCGCGGGAGGCGGCCGCGCCGCAGCCAGCTACCGAAGGGACGCCGGGCTTCGTCTGCGTCTCCAGGCGCGGCATGGCGGACATTGTTTTTCTTTCGGTTTAGGGGGAGGCGGAGATCGGCCTCTCGGGTCGGCGGTTGGCGTTGCGATCTGTACAGGCTATGGTTAAGGCAGGGTCGAGTTTCTCGGAGTTATTTGTTTCTCTGAGCGAACAAAAGTATTTTTTTCCTTTCCAAAATGCTAATTAGTGCAGGTGCACTAATTGGCACTTCCCGGCGTACACCAATAATTACAACCGTTTGATATGAAATCATGTCAGAGCAGCGTCTCACTCCACCCCGTCCACGCACACAGGGGTGGGGGGGTGATGATTTTCAGGAGGCGTGACGGTTAACCGTGCCGCGCGCTCTAAGCTGAGGAGTAAGGCTGAAGACGGGGCTAGTGAGCCATCCTCCCATGGGCTAGAGCGACGGAGGAGCGGAGGGAGAAGTTGGGTATGTGCGCCATCCGCAGGAGGCCAGAGCGGAGGAGAAGCATGGGGCTAAGCATATTTGGCGCACGCGATCACAAGTCGGTACTCGGCATGCAAAACCATGGAATCGAGGTTGCAAAACAACACGTAAGCTTCTCAAAATCCACAGCTACATCCCCGCGGTGTGTTGGATCTGCTATTTTCCATTTGCATGCGAGAGAGGTAGACATGACAGTATATTTTGGAGATGTTGACGAGGGCTGGGGCAGGATTTGGGGTGTTGGGTGGTATCCACGAGTTCATGTTCGAGGGTGGGGGTAACAACCCAAGAATAAAACACTAGATATATTTGCACATTATATTATTTGTGCGTCATATGCATCACATAATCATAGCATCAACATCATATTGCATTAATTAAATAATTAATTTAGATATACTATTTTGTGATTTTGTTAACTCTGAATAAGTAAACCACTTCTCTTATTTAATGTTCTAAATCCAAGGCTCACCCCCAAAGGATGGACACACTCTTTTTTTTGTATTTAGGAGCTACTGAACTTATGTCCTAATTTTAGCACAAGCATAGATATCAGTCGTAGTGATTTTCGAGAGGCGTGACGGTTGTCTTTTGCTCTTGCCCTTTGATGTCTACTACACAATTATTCTTGTAGACTCGTGTTAGGCCTCCAAGCGCAAAGTTTTGTAGGACAATAGCAATTTTTCCATAAGTGGATGGCCTAAAATTTATCAATCCTCTTGCTCTTGCCCTCTGATGTCTACTACACAATTATTCTTGTAGACTCGTGTTAGGCCTCCAAGCGCAGAGTTTTGTAGGACAGTAGCAATTTTCTCACAAGTGGATGGCCTAAGATTTATCAATCCGTGGGAGGCATAGGATGAAGATGGTCTCTCTCAAATAACCTTGCAATCAAATACAAAAATCTCTTGTGTCCCCAATACACCAAATACAATGTGAAATTGTATAGGTGCACTAGTTCGGCGACGAGATGGTGATACAAGTGTAGTATGTATAGTAGATATAGGTATTTGTAATATGAAAAATATAAAAACAGTAAGATAGCAAGTGATAAAACGGAGCACAAACGGTATTGCAATGCTTGATAACAAGGCCTAGGGTTCATACTTTCACTGGTGCAATCTCTCAACAGTGCTAACATAATTGAATCATATAACAATCCCTTAATGTGCGACAAAGAATCACATCAAAGTTCTTATCAAACGAAGAAAGTATGATGAAAGCGTGCATCAACCCCCTATGCATAAATTACCCAATGTCACCTTGGAAATCTACGAGTTGAGTGCCAAAACATACATCGAGTGAATCAATAGAACACCCCATTGTCACCACGGGTATCCACGTGCAAGACATACATCAAGTGTTCTCCAATCCATAAAAGTATTCAATCTGATTATAGTGAAACCTCAATGGTAAAAAATCAATTCATCACAACAAGATAGAGAGGGAGAAACACCATATGATCCAACTATATTAACAAAGCTCGTGGTACATCAAAGATCGTGCCAAATCAAGAACACGAGAGAGAGGAAAAGAGAGAGATCAAACACATAGCTACTAGTACATACCCTCAACCTTGAGGGTGAACTACTCCCTCCTCGTCATGGAGTCCACCGGGATGATGAAGATGGCCTCCAGTGATAATTTCCCCATCCGGCAGGGTGCCAAAAGAGAGCTCCAGATGGATCTCCTTGATACAGAGGCTTGCGGAGGAGAGGTCGAAGTTCTGGGGTTTTCTGTATTTATATGAATTTTTGCGCTGGAATCACATGTAGAGGTGCCACTGGGGCCCACAAGGCACCAGGGCGTGCCCTGATGGCTTATGGTGCCCCTGCGGGTCTTCTGATACTCTCCCGAATTTCCTGGGTCCCTTTCCTTTTAGAAAAAATATTCAAAAAGTTCCGCTGCATTTGGACTTCGTTTGATATGGATTTTCTGGAAACAAAAAACAAGTAGAAAACAACAACTGGCACTGGGCACTAGGTCAATAGGTTAGTCCATGAAAGTCATATAAAAGCCATATAAAAGTGCACCAAAATCGTACAAAACTTATAATAAACATGCATGAATACTTCATAAATTATAGATACGTTGGAGACGTATCAACATCCCCAAGCTTAATTCCTGCTCGTTCTCGAGTAGGTAAATGATAAAAGAAATAATTTATGAAGTGTGAATGCTAGCATAGTGCATAAGTTTGATCAATGATAATTTCAATCACTTTTCCTAGCATCATAACAACTCTTTCTTATAAAAATTATCAAGGTAAAGTAGCAATCAATTCACATGTTATGGTTCAAACAATGCATTCTCTTGAAACTTAACAACCTATGTCCTTAGTCACCAAACAATTGCAATTCAACTTATCTTCAACAAAGTCTAAGTAAGAGCTCCACATACTCAATTATCATTCATTCTTCTATGATTGCTAGTACTCAAAGCATATTTTTAGAACAAATATCATCCATAAAACATAGAGAAAGGGCTTAATGTAGCTCCAAGTGAGGTTACCGATAGTATTGAGGACGAAAGAGGGGATGCCTTTCGGGACATCCCCAAGCTTATACGCTTGGGTCTTCCTTGAATATTGCCCTTGGGTGCCTTGGGAATCCAGATAACCCACGAGTATAGGGGATCGTAACAGTTTCCGAGGGTAGTGTATTCAACCCAAATTTATTGATTCGACACAAGGGGAGCTACTGAGTTGTCAATTCAACCACACCTGGAGATTAATTATCTGCAACAAAGTGATATGTAGCGAAGTAGTATGATAGTTTTGATAATAGTAGCAATAGCAATAGTAACAATAACAGTGATAGCAATGATTTTGTAGCAAGTATAACAACAACAGTAGTAGTAGTAACTTAGCAAGAACGATATGAGAGAAATTCGTAGGCATTGGATTGGTGATTTTCGTTGGATGATATTCATCATATAATAGTCATAACCTAGGGCGATACGGCACTAGCTCCAATTCATAAATATAATGTAGGCATGTATTCCTTAAATAGTCATACGTGCTTATGGAAAGAACTTGCATGCCATCTTTTGTCCTACCCTCCCGTGGCAGCGGGGTCCTATTGGAAACTAAGGGATATTAAGGCCTCCTTTTAATAGAGAACCGGAACAAATCATTAACATATAGTGAATACATTAACTCCTCAAACTACGATCATCACTCAGAAGTGTCTCGACTATTTTCACTCCGAGGTTGCCGGATCATAACATGTAGTAAGTGACTATAACTAGCAAGATCAGATCTAGAACATAGATATAATGGTGATAACATAAACGGTTCAGATATGAAATCATGGCACCCGGGCCCAACGTGACAAGCATTAAGCATGGCAAAGTCATAGAAACATCAATCTCAGAACAGAATGGATACTAGGGATCAAGCTCTAACAAAACTAACTCGATTACATGATAGATCTCATCCAACTCCTCACCGACCAGCGAGCCTACGAAGGAATTACTCACTCCCGGTGGGGAGCATCATGGAATTGGCGATGGAGAAGGGTTGGTGATGACGAAGATCGAAGATCGCCCTCTCCGAAGCCCCAAACGGACTCCAGATCTGGCCTCGTGATGAAGAAAAGGAGGTGGCGGTGGCTCCGTCTCGTGAAACGTGATAATTCTTTCTCCCTGATTTTTTTCTCCAAAGATGTGATTTTATCGTATCAGGGTTAAGGTCTGCGGGGCCACTAGGTGGGGACAACCCACTTGGGCGCCCTGGTGGGTTGTGCCCACACAGGTGCCCCTCTCCGGTGGTTCTTGGCTCCAGAAATTCTTATTTATTGTATAAAAAATCCTCGCAAAGTTTTGTTCCAACCCGAGAACTTTTATTTCTGCACAAAAACAACACCATGGTAGTTCTGCTGAAAACATCGTCAGTCCAGGTTAGTTTCATTCAAATCATGCAAATTAGAGTGAAAAACAAGAGGAAGAGCGTTCGGAGAAGTAGATACGACGGAGACGTATCAACTCCCCCAAGCTTAAACCTTTGCTTGTCCTCAAGCAATTTAGTTGATAAACTGAAAGTGAAAAAAGAAAATTTTTAAGAACTCTTTTGCTCTTGTTTACATAAATAAGCTTAAACAACACCCAGGTTTTCAGCCAAGATTATAACTAACCATGTCAACAATAACTCTTAAAAACTATATTAGCTCATATCAATGACATAATCAACTAGCGAGCAATAATAAGATATCACAAACAACAACACTTTGTCAAAACAACCATGATATAATATGACAATAGTGGTATCTCGCTAGCCCTTTC